TTCCCAAGGAAATGACATTGATAAGAAGAGAATGCATAGTCATTCAGTAGGGTGCATTAATTGTGCCAACTTCCTTTCTGTTGGTCATGCATGAGGATGTGGTTGCAACATTGCATTGCTGTTTCTGAGCTCTTCCAAGTTGTATTGCAAAGACCTTGGCTGGATCATCCTTGGTTGCAGCTGAGGTTCTTGCCCCACTTTGCCATGGAAAGCCAGCTCTCTCTCTTTTCTGCCTTTGTTTCAGGTCTGCTTTAACACTCTCTCTCCTTTTTTGTACTTGTTTGACTTGAAATGATACACCGTGAGACTTGATAATGATCATTTATAAAAGTAACTTCATCACACACTTGTACATGGCTCACATATCCTCACAAACCCTCACATACACCTGTACACATTCAAGCATACTCGTTTACACCTTCACGCTTATGCATACCCACATGTTCATGTGAAAAACACACGCACACGCACATGCACGCGCATATGCGCATGCACACACACATGCAAGCACATGCGTGTAGACACACACACACACTTGCAGACACACACACACACATGCAGACACACACACACACATGCAGACACACACACATGCAGACACACACACACACATGCAGACACACACACACATGCAGACACACACACACATGCTATCACACACACACATGCAGACACACACACACATACAGACAGACACACACATGCAGACACACACACACATGCAGACACACCCACACATGCAGACACACCCACACATGCAGACACACACACACATGCAGACACACACACACATGCAGACACACACACACATGCAGACACACACACACATGCAGACATACACACACATGCAGACATACACACACATGCAGACATACACACACATGCAGACATACACACATGCAGAACATACACACACATGCAGACATACACACACATGCAGACAAACACACACATGCAGACATACACACACATGCAGACATACACACACATGCAGACATACACACACATGCAGACATACACACACATGCAGACATACACACACATGCAGACATACACACACATACATGCACACGCGTGCAGACACACACACGCACACACATGCACACGCACACGCACGCACTCACACACACACACACACACACACACACACACACACACACACACACACACACACACACACGCACTCACTCACTCACTCACTCACTCACTCACTCACTCACTCACTCACTCACTCACTCACTCACTCACTCACTCCCTCACTCACTCACTCACTCACTCACTCACACACACACACACACACACACACACACACACACACACACACACACACACACACACATGCAGACACACACACATACACATTTGATCAATTTTGATTATATCATAATCAAAACCAGTCATTTACATCTACACAGTGGGGATGTAGGAGAAAATTATCCAAATATTTATCTCCTGTATTTGTAGAACGAGCTGTATGGAAGTTATAATATACTTAATCTGAATATTAATGGTAAGCACTTGTATTAATGAAATTCCACATGTCTAATACGCAGCAGATGGCAGAGGAAGGAAGAAGAGGTAACTTGCTTTAACATTTGTTCACTCATGCATGCAGCTTTGTCCTCATTTTTCATTTCCATCGTGCAGAGGAATTCTTGGTCATCCTTCGCTTGGTAATTGTTTGAATGTGTATGTGTGCTCTTATGTATGTTCACATTTTTGTGTGTGTGCATGCATGTGTGTGTGCATGCTATAGTGCATAAGTGTATATGTGTGCTTATGTTTGCATTTGTGTTCATGTGCTCACACAGGCATGTGGCCTTGTATGTTTGTATTCCTGAGTTCATATATGAAGTATAGTAACTGAAATAGCATGACTTACTTGAGATACCTTCATAACATATTTTATCATACATGCAAATATGGGCACACATGCTCAAGTAGCTACGTAGATATACTGTCACACACATGTACACACTCAGCCCATGCGCACATCATTCACACCCACCCACACGGCACACTCACAGCATTAGCTCTATTGGCTGCTCCTCTTATCTCATTGTGTCTTCTGGTGGTGGTCCTTTTGATGGTTTCAGTTTTGGCATTTCTTTCTACGCACAGTTTTGTTAATCTTGTTTATGGAATCCCTGTAGGTTAAGTATCTCAAATGTTAGAGTGTGTTAGTAATAGATAGATTTTATGTGTCATGTAATATATTTGTATATAAATATATTTTGTTTTGTGTAATATATGTGTATATAAAAATAATTTGTGTCATGTGTAAATAAGTATATTTTATGTGTCATGTAATATATTTTATGTGTAGATTATACAGACAGTCCCCTACTTAAGAACATTCTACTTATGAACATTCCATACATGCAAACAAGATTTTTTAAGTACTAAAGTCCAAAAAAAATTGTTTGAAAGATGCTAGCAAACTTCAAATTTCCCGGGCACGAATATAGTTCAAGAGTCTGGTACTGTATAAGGTATGTCGTACTTATTGGGATTTATTTACAAGTAATCTTAATGTAAACAAAACTCTAAAACAATGGGAAAAAAAGTAATGGAGACCAGACTTTCTACATACAAACAAATCAACTTACAAACAGCCTCTCAGTCCCCATAATGTTCTTAAGTTGGGGACTTACTGTATATAAAAATTATATATATATAGACTGATATATAGATAGCTACATGTTTATATTCATATTTATATGTAATATGTACAAATGTGTTGTAGATATTTTATTACTGGAAATGGAAAAGCAATAAACTCTTTCACTTAATAGTTATTCTAGTTTTTTCCTGCATAAGAGCTGTATTATTCCCTGCCATTTGTGTAGAAAAATTATCACTGTGGAAAAGCAACGCAAATCTTTAGTAGAAAAAGCTGAATATCCAGATTTATTATTCATATCTTTTGTTAATATCTGTTTAAGAAATTTAAGGCTTTCAAAGGCACTTGGTCACAGCTGCTAAGCTGGCATACAAGGTCTCACATGTTGTGACAGCCAGGAGAATTATGTGGAGAAGGCTTGTGCATTGGGCAAGGGATAAAAGCTTGTGGATATCCTCCACCCCCACAGCACAAGGATGTGGGCAGGTTTTCTATTCTTTCTCACCGTTTCCAACTCTCCTTCTTACTTGCAAGCCTTCTCATTTTCCCCCCTTTTTTCCCTTGCAATTTTGAGGGCTCAGTGTCACTGGTTAAGTTCAGTACAATCTGCATAACTTACAAGTATGAGAGTCTGAGATGTTGTTTTGTTTTATATTCTGATCTCCTCATAGGAGATATCTGGTTTCACACTTTCAAGTTTATTTTGTTTATAGTGACTTGGTGGAGTGCTAAGTGTAAATTTCTCCTTTCTTTTTAATATGTTTTTTGTCTAAATATTTTTATCTGTTCACCTTAACCTAATGTAACCCTTCATTATCTCCTATCACTACTGATTGCTATCAGATTAATAGAACATCTTTTCACGCTCTCAGTTGTATTTTATACTTTTCATCCCACATTCTCTATATAATTCCTCATTCCCTATCGACACTATTTTAAGGGTTTCTCATTTGTATCTTAATAACTTTTTGTTTCTTCTTTTACTTATTCTATTTTCTTATTGTGCTTTTTCTCTTTCTCCTCCTGTTTTTTCCTCACATGCTGCCCTCTTCTCTGAATCTACTTTTATCTTCTTAATCAACCTCTTGTTAGAGCATCACACATTCTCGTCAGAATCTTCCCCTTCTTGCTATCTTCTTAATTAATGGGAAAGCAAGGGAATGTAGGTTCTATATACAACTGTGTGGCATGCTGTGAAAAGCTACTTATAAAGGATTGTTTGCCCAGAGGTCTATCTTTTACATTATAGATGGTGTATTTAGAGGGATTGGTAGATGAAAACTAGATGGTGTAATGTTATTGATTTTTATATTATTATTGCTATTATGTTTATTGTCTTTCTGTTTTGTTTTTGATAATGGTAGTATTGTTTTTATTACTGTTATAGTTACTGATTTCTTCTTATTTTCTTCCTTTAGCTCTTCTTCTTTTTCCTCCTCCTCCTCCTCCTCCTGATATAAAAAGACTGAAAAGCTTTATAACCAAAATCCTGTATTCCAGGCACAAGCTCCACTATGTCTCACTACGACGAAAGCCAGTCAGAACGCTTGGCCCGGAAAGCACGCGATGCCCCCTTCATGGTGGCAGGTATGTAACCTTTCTTGCAATTTTTTCATTGTTGTTAATCTTGGATATCTTTTTTATTACTTAGTCTTTGCTTTCATCTTTGCTTTCGCTTGTTATGAGCAATGATGGAAAATCAGGATAATGAGAAATATCGTCATGTTTTTGCAATACTTTCTTGTTTTAGGAAATATCAAACTTACATATTGTAATGAAACATTATAACATTACATAGACACAAAGTACATTAGGTAAATGATAATGTTCCCTTCACCTTGTCTCTCTCCTTAGGTTTGGCTGGCTTGGTTGGCCTGGTAGGCTACAGCATTTATGGTTTTAAAAACAAGAAAGTCAAGACCTCTGTATATCTCATTCACACCCGTGTTGCCGCTCAGGGCTTTGTTGTCGCGTGCCTCACTGCTGGTGTCTCCTGGAACCTCTTTAAGAACCACATTTATCCCAGGCTTTATCCAGAGGCTGTAGAGGAAAAGAAGAACTAGATTACTCAGACATGTGTCCATTAGTCTTAGATAGATCAAGCTCTATTGATATGATTGATGTATACTTTGCCCACAGACACTCATACATGTATTTGTACTTGTTCTTTATAGTGTGTCTGGTCATCATGTACACTTTAATATCAAATTAATTGCTTTTCCTTTTTTTCTCATTCTTATTTGTTCATAACTTGAAGGATATATTTTATATATACAATTATAAATGAATTGTATCATCAGGTCCTTCATCTCATATATTTTTTTCATATTTATATGCAGTAAAGTTTATATATATGGTGCAGAAAAGTATATACTGATACTTTAGTGCTTTATGAAGTTATTCAATATTATGCTTCTATAGTTTTTTTGAAAAACAGTTTTTCAGAAAGTGTGTATAGAGATGGAGTGTTAGCCACATTCCATTTAATTTTTTTTGTTTCCCATGTTTTGTTTTTCTTTGGATTCCTCACGGTAATCATGTTAATGATTTTAAGCAGTTTCATTAAAGGCTTTAATTCAGATCATATTATGTTATTATAGCATATGGCCTTATTCATGTATGCTTCCTTTTAAAAGCCAGTAGATGAACAGTAAAAGATAAAGGAAAAGTATACAGCACTGTGGATGCAAAGCATTTGGAAAGACTGTGATAGAAAGTAAGATTTGTTCATACTATGCCTGTGGCACTACACTTTTTTATGACCAAGACATCAGCTGTTGCATGTGTGGGTAATAAGCATAAACGGGGACTTTTATTAATATTAATTTATTTATTGATTTAACAGTACTTCTTATCTCCTTTGTTCCCATTTTTTTGTTACAATTTAAAAGGAGGAGTGTATATTTAAGCCTAGGTTTCTAGCCTGATGGTTTGATCACACATAGTGGCTGTAGTGAGCTTATCCTTGTGACGGTCAGAGAAGAGTTGTAGTGGAAATTGAAAGTTGGTGTGACATTAAATTTTATAGGACAAAATTCAGTTGTATACTTATATGTGTTGTCAGATATGAATGTGAAATTAGACAGATAAGTGAGCTGTGTGACACAAATATTATTTTTAACAAACTGAATGCATGTTTGTTTCTCATAATGTGGAAGTGAACTTTAACCAAATGTGATGTGACTTCTGTTATTATTGCTAATACAGATGTAATCTAGAATTGTGGAAAATACTACCATATGGTGTGTAGTTCTCAATTTATATCTTTTTTTCTTTTCTTTTCTTTTTCTTGTGCAAAATTGTATTGGTACAATTTTATTATCAAGTAAATGTCTCTGATATTACAGACAACAATTATGTTTTCAGTTCAGGTGATTTTATTAAAAAAAAAAAAGTTTAGGAAAGATTGTCATTTACCATATTTCGGTGTTTTAATGATGTATTGCATAGTCAAAACATATTTGCACACAGCTGTAGAAATGTGTATATATATACATAGATTATTCAGTCATAAGAGAAAAAATAAAAAGCTTATTGATTTCTCTTAGTTTCTTTTTCTTTTAAAACTCCTGTACTGTATGTGTTTATGCAGGTGAGTAATTATGTACATATTATTTATTTATTGAAAATTTCCTGCTGCATCAACATCTAAGGTCATTAGCAGTGTATTCAAAATAAAGCAAAAGAGAGGGGCTTGGGAGCTAAAGCCCCTGAGCAAGATAGTTTTTTGGTTCATAAGTGGTTAATGGTTAAAACAAATAAATGTGCTAGACATCAATGGTCATATAGCAGTATGATAAAGTATTGTGGCAATAAGGGTAAAAATGAATAGATAATTAGGATAATTAGACGGAAGGGGAGGAAGAAGAGAAGGAAAAGAAAAGAGGGAGAAGAAAAGATCATGCAAAACTAATTGAGGCCAGGGCTGAGGTCCAAGGTAGGGGTGAAACACTAACTTGGGCCTCTTGCCTCCATCACTGAAGCACCTTATGATAACAATGAGTAAGGGACTGGGGGGATTATGTACGTTATGTATATATAAATGCACATATTCATATAGATCAGTTAGGACATAAGAGTACACATTTTTATGAGTGTTATGATTTGTGTATGTGTTCAGGGGTTGTAATGTATATCATGTATATACAGGTATTATTGTTATTTAAACTAATGGTTATGTAAAGATAAATTTTCACATACCTTTGTCCTCTCTAATCCTTTGTGTGTTGTCATGGGAGAGCTTAAGAGGCTGGGGCCCAACCCTGGACCTTAGCCATTGTCTCAATTTTGCTTGGTCTTTTCTTCTTTCATTTTCTGTGTCTTCATCCCCTTGTTCAGTCCAATTATCTCAATCCTTAACTCCTTCCCCTTCTTTACCTTGTACTATACCCCATTAGCTCCCCCCCTCTACTATACTCCTGCACTGTAAGTACTGTTAAACCTCTATCTTTACCCCAATCATTAACCCCCAAGCCTCATGATATTGCTATATTTTGAATATGCTGCTAATGACATGACAGAAATTTTTCAATAAATAAATAAATAAGTAAGTAAATTTTCCAGTCTACATCCAGATACTCTTTTGCAGTTTTCCACATACAGTTGTTACTCTCTCTCTTCCTCAGACACATACTTTCCATTTGATCTGATTGCCGTATACCTTTAACCCCATTCCCTTGTACAAATCCCCACTGTATTCCATTTGTTCCCCATCTATACCATTTTCACTAATCTATCCTACAGCATTCTACAACCTTATCCTGATCGCTAATTCATTTCCACCTTTTTTACCACCATACTTTACCATAGTACTATATGATCTTTGATGTGTAGCACATTTATTTCTTCTAACAATAACCATCATATCTTTGTTACCAATACATTTATTTATGAAGAGATGAATCCAGTTCACTATCAAAGTATGTAAAGTACCACTTTTGTTGAATTTGGAAAACCTTTGGAAAATGTGCTTACACTTGGAAGCACAACTGAAGCAGTCAGTTATTAATCCTACCTATCTCGGCTGTTTGGAAGGTTTCTTTTGTATTCATTGTCTTTAATGTTACCAAGATTTTAATAACAATTTATTAATCATATAATCAAAAAGAATTAGTGTCAATATCAATAATAGTAGAAAGAAAAACACATTTTCCCACAATTTCAAGGAATCAGGAGCAGTCACTAGGGCCTACTGAAAGATGTTGCTGGCTGAGCACATGTGGAGCCATCTGAATAACACTAAATTCACAAAAAATTACAGATCTTACATAAATCCTTAGTGATTGAATTTACCGCAGTTAAAAAAGCAAGTATATTTAGTAGCATGGGAATCAAATTCTGCTTGGAATATAATGATACAATTTGTGGAAAGACAGTCTAGCAGAAGTGAAAAATTATAGCCTGGTTTCTTTTTCAAATAATTCAGTAAATTATTCACCAAATATAGCATTCCATTAATCTATATATGAAATGAATTTAGGCACACTTTCAGATGTTCTACCCCCCTAATCCCTTGCTTCTTCTTGTCGTAGGGGGATTAAGAGACAGACGGGTCCAATGTAGGGGATCACCCCTACCTTGGACCTCAGCCCTCGACTCAACTAATTTTGCAGTCTTTTCTTCTCCCCCTTTCCTTCTCTTCTTCATCATCCCCTTCTTCTGTCCATTTCCTAAGGTGTGAGAGCTGTGGTGAAAGGATGAAAGGCTAGCTTTGTGTCAGTCATGAATGGTCTCTGGGAGCCATGGTGTACAGTATTCCCTTAATTGTTTAGCCCTTAACCCTCATAGGGACCCTAAGGGGTAGACTGTTTCCTCTCCCCATTCATTTCAGGCACACCAATATGTAGATTTTTTACCCTTACTAGGCTTGCCCTTCATCACCTACCTTATCTATCCCCCTCTCCTTTGACCGGGGCTCCAACCGATACTGATACCCCCTCCGCGATGTTTGCTGTCAACTCTTTCCATTCTGATTCATCAATCTAGGTCATTACTCAACCTTCAGAATACACCTTTTTCTCTCCCAGTGTCTTCCACTCCATTTTCTACTGCAGTCTTCTTCATTTTCTACCCTCACCCCCTTATTACTACTCTTCATCCTTATTGTACTCTTCCAAACCACCTCCTGCCCTCCTCCTACTGCTTCCACCTCTACAAACCTTTTGAGTACCCTTTTTGGCCCAGCCATGTGGGATCAAATTCTTTGTGATTTCCCATACAGCCCCATACTCTGACAATACCCTTCTCTTACAACAATGTTTCCAAAAACAAGTAGGTAAAGGTTTCCTTTCAGTTGTTCTGATTGTACAGGCCTAGTCACAGTTACATCTGAGGCCCAAGCTTGTGCACTACCCTGACTAACCTCACTGATAAAGCTATTCTTGCTCAACCTCACCCCTCCCTTAATACTTGTAATGGACCTGTTTCCATCCCTCCAACTGACTGTCCTATCTACAACAAAGGCTGGTTAGACTGTGGAAAAGACTTGCTCGCATGCCTCATCAACTATGATGCAGTGGTAGTACAGTGCTACACTATTCCTCCCAAAGGCCAACACAAGTCCTACACTAATATTGCCAAAATTACCTTCTGCAGATGTGACCTCCCCCATGAAATTTATATGGGTGGAGTGTCCTGCTCTGTCTGACCATATCGACATCTTCCCTGTTAATGTCAGAAATATTGTCATTTTGGTCAACCAACCAAACACAGGTTGCTCCACAGCCTGCTGCCCTCTATGTGCCCAACCTAGTCACGACTTCAAAATGCCCTGCTCTGTCATGCACGAGAGCCAACTGTGATGGCTCCCACAATGTGATTTGTAGGAGCTGCCCTGCCTATTAGCTCAAATCTGAGGTAGCAGTTCTCAGTTTCAAACTAGGCCTCACTACGTGAGGCCAGACAAAAAGCATGCCAAAAAGCTTTTACTCTTTCTACCTATTTGAAAAGTGTACTTTGCTCCACTCCCCTCCCATCTCAAGTATCTTTTCCCTCTACATCAAACCAACCTAACTCTACTATCTCTCTCCCCCAGTCAAATTCCTTTTCTAGTCTAAATCAAGATACTCAGATCTCTACCACTTTCCTAGTGCCTATCCCTCCCCCTCCTCACTCTACCTGTTGCACCAGACAATCTAAATATTCCACTCCATCTCCTCCTACCACATCCTTTCCTACTGCTCCTTGGATATCTATTTCCTCTTCTTCTCCACATAATAAAACTTTTGTTTCACAGACCTCCTCATCCAACTCCCCTCCAGAAACTCTTGAAGACAGCCAAAAGTTCATAAACATGACAAGAAAATGATCCACAACCTTATCCACCCTCTAATCCCTTTATTTGCTCTACAAAGTATCTGCAGATATCCATCCTCCTTAAGTTCCCCCTACCCCTTCTTCCCTCCACTCACCCAAAAAACACCCTATCTTCTCCTCCTCCATGTGCATCACCATTCACTCTTCCTTCCCCATTATCCTTACCACCCCCACTTAGATGCTCATCTGATTCCCTTAAGTCAAAACAATGTCCTTGCGTGGATCCCTCCCCTCCTGATATTCTTCCCGATACTTCACCACCTTCCTGTTCCCTATTTCATTTTCAGGATTCTTCTCCTACTTCTACAACTATTGTTTCTTACCCTATTACCATCTGATTGGTACACAATAGCTCTTGCAGTTTTCCCATACAGTGTTACTCTCCTTTCCTCAGACACATACTCTCCACTTGATCTGATCACCCTGTACCTTTAACCACATCCTTTTACAAATCCCCACTGTATTCCATTTGCTCCTCCTCTATACCCTTTTCACTATAATTAATCCTACAGTGTTCTACAACCTTTGACATCTAACGCATCTTATCCCGATCAGTAACTCATTTCCACCCTTTATGACACAATGCTTTACTGTAGTGCTATATGACCTTTGATGTCTAGTGCATTTATTTCTTCAAACCATTAACCATTCAGATGCTCTGGTTACTCAATGAGTTAAATATTGAGCCAAATTTGACATTAACCAGTGGTGTGTCAGAGACTTTCTTATTCATGTTTCTTCATTTTAATTATTGATGCATATTCATATCCAATTCCATAGGTATAGCAAATTACATGTTTTTTTCTCTCTCCCTCTACTTGCTTTTATCTTTTTACCAACTTTTCATAAAACTGCAGACCCTGCAATGTATAAAGATCAGTTGCTGGTAAAGAAAACACTGTATTTATTGTATCTAGCATTTTTATTTACCTTTTTCTCCTACTTCTAATCATTCTTGATGTAAACTACTAACAAATTTGAGAAATCCTTGACTACTGAATTTCACACCATTGAGCCATATTCAGACTGTTGGCCAAAGAAACATCTAATTACAAATTATAAGGAAAGTAGTAAGAACAAGAAAGAAATAATTGTTAATAACAATAAATAGTAATGCCCTATATTTCATAAACCTTTTCAGAGGCTAAAAGCTACTCATGTCTGTTTAAGGTCAGACTATATCAATTTATATTTGCATGATATATTTTGGTGAATTTTACCCAAAT